CCGTCTGTGTGACACTTGACTTACATTATTTCACACGCTTTCTTTTATTCCATCCATCTGTGTGACACTTGGATTACATTATTTCACACACGTTTTCTTTTATTCCATCCATCTGTGTGACACTTGGATTACATTATTTCACACACGTTTTCTTTTATTCCATTCGTCTGTGTAGCAGTTGGATTACATTATTTCACATGTTTTCTATTACTCCATTGGTCTGTGTAGCACTTGGATTACATTATTTCACACGTTTTCTATTATTCCATTCGTCTGTGTGGCACTTGGATTACATTATTTCACACACGTTTTCTTTTATTCCATCCATCTGTGTGACACTTGGATTACATTATTTCACACGTTTTCTATTATTCCATTCGTCTGTGTAACACTTGGATTACATTATTCCATTTGTCTGTGTGGCACTTGAATTACATGTTTTTCAAACTTTTTGTTTGTTTTTTAAAGAAAAGTTAATCAACTAAAAGTAAGAGAGGTTTTTTTTTGTTTAGCAATACTTATTAGAATAATTTGGGAATGTATTTCCATGAAAAAATATTTAGGGACATTTATCATACGAACTCTACCCCAATATTATGTATATGCCCCCCAAGTGGCTCGGTGGTAAACCAGAGGCCTTTTAATGTTAAAAGCTGAGTTTCGATACCCACGGTGGACACAGCACAGATAGCCCATTGTGTAACTTTGCACTTAACGACAAGCAAACAAAATTATATGTATATTTCATCCCATCAGACAAACTAAATAACAGTGTTTTTGGTTTGAGGCTCTTACAACTATTTGTATGTGCTTTATAGATGTTAACAAAAAAGAGTTAGATCTGTCCAAGAAGGAAGAAGATTTAAATGTCAGTAATCCAGTGGAAGAAGCAATGGACCAGGTAAATAATTACTGTGTATGTGTGTGTGCGTATGTTAAAGATTTCTTTTATTTTTCGTCATACGTGAAATTGAAAAGAGGCTTAATGTTCTTTTTGAATGGCCGTATCCTCTGTTGTTGACTGCAGTTTTGTCTATTCGAGGCTCATCAGCACAGCTTGGGTCAACAAAGTACCATTATGCGTGTTATAATGGTGAAGTTTATATAATATATATATAAGGGGTTTTGAAGCTGCCTAAAATAGTTTACATATTAGTATTACAACAGATATTTTAATATTGGTTGATATGGTAATTTTGACCGAAACAAATGCCAACAAAAATCAAATGTAAATCAAACTAACAAAGATGATAGGTAATTACCACCTGCTGGTTACTTAATTGTAAACATGTGATAATAATTGTTCCTCTGAAAATTTTACACATTTAAAGTTGCTAAAATGTCTGTTGAACAGGTAAGCCTAGGTATAATTGTAATTTGTGAAGTGACATGATAATCTGACAATTTTCAGCCAAGTTATAGCCATTTGGCAAACACTATCTTAGCCATTTTTGCTCTGGATAAATACTTTGTCAATATAGAACTTTCTGGCAGGATGGGTGGAGATAACAGGCACATTTTGTCACTGTATAATTGTGGTTTCCAACCTTTCTGGCAGGATGGGTGGAGGGAACAGACACACTTTGTCACTGTATAATTGTGGTTTCTAATCTTTCTGGCAGGATGGGTGGAGATAGCAGGCACACTTTGTCACTGTATAATTGTGGTTTCCAACCTTTCTGGCAGGATGGGTGGAGGGAACAGACACACTTTGTCACTGTATAATTGTAGTTTCCAACCTTTATGGCAGGATGGGTGGAGGGAACTGGCACATTTTGTCACTGTATAATTGTAGTTTCCAACCTTTATGGCAGGATGGGTGGAGGGAACTGGCACATTTTGTCACTGTAGAATTGTGGTTTCCAACCTTTCTGGCAGGATGGGTGGAGATAACAGACACATTTTGTCACTGTATAATTGTAGTTTCCAACCTTTATGGCAGGATGGGTGGAGATAACAGACACATTTTGTCATTGTAGAATTGTTTTTTTAATTACGCTTGTTTTTTTTTCACTGACCATTAAAATAGTAATAGCAGAGCAGTATTGGAGAAATACTATATTAGAAAGACGAGTTTTTCCTGGTGTATCAGGTGGAATATTCTTATTCAAAATTATAATGCTTCCTAAAACGTAAGCCTAAAACTTTACATTAATGCCTCTTTGTACAAAACTGTGGCAAAATGATACTGAACTTTATCGTAAGAGTCAAAAATGATGTTTTTTTTTAAAACTTGAAATCAATCAATAATCATTCAGTTAACTAATGTAAAATTAATATAATTAACTAAAATGTCACATTATATTTAATGAATTTAATGTTGCATGTGGAAAAGTTGGAATAATGGAACCAGTTCAACTTTTTTTCTTCTGTTATTCAACTTAATAAAAGTGACAGTTTCATTTAGGCTAACTGAAGTTGTATTTGTTGGTATAAGTGCAAATATGATTCACTTGTGGGCTGTGTTTTGTTATTTCTATGGGAAAATTTAGAAAAAAAAGTTTCGGGTTATGTTTAGAGTATAACAAAATTTTAAACAATGTAAATATCCTAAGCATAATTTTGAATTTATTTATTTTCCCCCTAAACTTAGGTACTGTAGATAACAATGTTTTGTTGTTGTTCTTGTTACTTTAAGAAGTTCCATAATCATTTTAATGTTTAACTTTATAGGATAGAGGGTATTTATTCACCCCTTGCTCAAGAAGATCCACTCGTTCTCGCATTTCAAAAGTTGGAGATCTTATTTCATTTTCACCAGTTCCTTAACTCTTTGTTGTGTTACGTGTGTTTCAAAGCACCTTTCGTGTTATTTTTGTTTTTATCACTGTGATAGAAATTTATGTTTATCCGTGTTTTTTTTTGTTTTTTCTTTTAATAGCCACTAGCTTTTATAAAAGTATTAGCATTTTATATGTAGCTTTATTCCTGTATTTACAGTAAAATGGTGGTAAACCAAAGAATATCTAAACATTAGTATCAACTTGATTCAAGAACGTTTTCTATTCAGTTAATAGTTCTTCTTTAAGCTTCTTTTTTTAACTGATAGTTGCTCATGTTTAGGTTTTTATTATGATGTTAAATGGAAAAACGTGTGTTGTTTTCTAAAATTGATTTTAGCTTTAAACATTAAAAACAATATCATAA